GACCCAGGCAGCCTGGCCCAGCTGCTACCCAAGTTTAAACTCCTCACTGGTCTCCCTCTATGGTCAAAGGCCCCCCGGAGGCCACTTCCTCTCAATCTTACAGCCCTAGGGCCTCAGAACCCTAAAGGGTAGGGGTCAGCCAGCCCCCAACACTCTGGGCACATACAGATTTGAACCTCACTTTGGCCTACTCTTCTCCCCTGTTCAAAGCCAGGCCACGGTCCTTCCCTTCCCTGCTGTGGGGACACTCCCTAGGACAGTGGTTGGCAAACTGAGGCTCACGAGCCACATGCGGCTCTTTGGCCCCTTGAGTGTGGCTCTTCCACAAAATACCACGTGCAGGCGCGCATGTACAGTGCGATTGAAACTTCATGGCCCATGCGCAGAAGTCGGTTTTCGGCCTGGGTGAGTCTATTTTGAAGTGGCGTTAGAAGAAGTGGGGGGTGTCGGTCCATCGGGCGACTGGAGACGCAGCGTGGGGGAGGCCAAATATCAACAGTACTTAAACTATATGGCTAGGTTAGTAACAATGTGCCTACCTGTATAGTTTAAGCTTAAAAAATTTGGCTCTCAAAAGAGATTTCAATCGTTGTCCTGTTGCTATTTGGCTCTGTTGACTAATGAGTGTGCCGACCACAGCCCTAGGAGAGCTGGGCAGGGGGACAGCTTCCTCCCAGGTCAAGCTCTGAGCTCAGCTCTGGAATCAGGGGGCTGGCGGCCTCCCCTGCCTTGCTGACCAGAGGCCACACTTCTCCGCCCTCCTCCTGGCTTCCTCTCTGTCAAACAGAGACTTCCGTGAAACCCAATCTCTGCTCCCCTCCCTCCCGACTGCCAGGAGCAGCAGGTCAGGCGGGCCCTTCCCAGGGGCACCTTTATTTAACAGGTGGCTTCGTAACCGAAAGCACTGAAAGCCCAGAGCAGCGCCCAGGGGCGGCGGTGGGCTCTATGGCAGGAGACAGGGCAGATGGAGGCTTCCCAGAGTCCACAGCGGCCCCACTGCAGCCCCAGGAGGAACACGCTCCAACCAGAGGGTCAATTTCCCCCCAGAGCCCCATGGCCTTGGTGTTATCAGCCCATTTTAGAGAAGGAAGCTGGAGTTCAGGAAACGGTCAAGACAGGGATCCCACCCCAATCAATCTGAAGTCCAAGGTCACCCTAAGTCTAACTCCTCCCCCACAGACTGGGGGTGGTAGGTGAGTAAAGTGGATATCAGCATCCACGTCAGTTTCAGGTAGCACCCCCCCCCACCCCGCCCCCTTTCTGGCTGTGACTTTGGCTATTTCCTTCCCCCCTGAGCCTCAATTTCCTCATATGTAAATGAAGAGACTAATAGGACCTACTGCAGGAAAGCTGTTGTGAGCATTAAATGAGTCAATACAAGCAAACATGCAAATCAGAACAGTGCCCGATTCGGAGTAAACGTTCAAATAAGAGAAAGAAAAAGTGCTTAGGTCTAGATTTAGCCCCAATCCTCCTCTTCCTCAAAAAGGAACAGTTTAGAGACTGCTGTTCCAATGTGGCTGCTCGCTCAGCTCTCAGATTTTGAGTAGCCTTGGGCAAGCCACTCACCTCTCCAGGCCTCAGCCTCGTGGTCTACAAATGGGGGTGAAACATCTGCCTCCGTGGACAGAGCAGCATAAGAGGAGGTGGCCCGGATGGACAAGCTGAAGGAGGTACCTAGCAGGCCGGACACTGAGGACCAGGGCGGCCTGGCCGAGGT